GTGACCCCCTCCTAAAAATGAATATTTTCAGGGATTTAAGTTTAAATTTCCTCAGTGTGATGGATGCCCCAACTGCCGGGACCCGAAATCTATGAACCTCTGAAAAATATTTTTAATTGAAACTTTTTTTAACGAACATAGAAAAACCAGAAACCAAAAATGTTTTTGTGAAATGTTTTTTTGGCTTTTAATAAAAATAAATTCATTTTTGGTTTTCAAAAATCAGAAAATGTTTCATGAAAACAGTTTTTGAAAATGGACCATTTTTCCGTTTCAGTTTTTTGTAAATTTTTCTTGGGGAATTTTGAAAAATGTGAAAAAAATTCAAAACTTTCTGTGAAAAATGCTTGGTATTTTTCACCCACCTCTAGTTTCGGGTGAGGTTGTGGCTGGTGGTAACGAGGAGGGCTGTGGTTCTGGCTTTAGATGAGATTTGGCAAATTCCTGGGGCTTGGGCTGGGGTTTGGGCTACCAGCTGCCCTGCTGACGGGGGCAGGGCTCGGGCTGCCAGCCCCTACTGCCCGGCCCCGCTCGCCCCGGGGCTCAGGGTGTCCTGCAAGCGGGTCCCACCTGCAGTCTCCAATGTCCGGGGTCCTCTGTCTGCCATTAGTGAAATTTTTCTGGATAACCCCCTGTAACGTTCTGCAAACCCCCAGGGGTTCGCGAACCCCAGTTGGGGAACCACTGTTCTAGTTCACACAGGAATGAATTCAGGGCAGGTCTCTGGCCTGGGCAATGCAGCTGATCAGAGTGGTCCCTTCTGGCCATAAATCTATGAAGCTGGGCCAGCCTGCGAATAGCTCCTCTCCACCCCCCATCCCTCTCATGCTGCCCTCCCCCAGACAGCAGCGGGACGGCTGGAAACCTGCGCGCCGGCTCTGACTCTGGCCCAGTGCAAAGTGTGGCAAGGCCACGACCCCTTCGTGCGTCTGAGCCCGGCCTCCCAGCTGGGCGCTGGGACTTCCCGCCTTGGACAGGGATGCCGCTAAAAGCAGAATCGGGACCTGCGTTTAACTTTGCTCTGCATTACGCCCTACGATCGCCAGCCCTCTTAGACTCTTTGAGGTGGGGAAAGGACAGATTGATTATTGCTCATGAATGTTAATGTGATTCCGCAGCCCCAGGTGCACATCAGCACTTTACACAGGATGAAAGGGACAGGCCCCAGCCATGAGAACACACAGGTTGCAGGCTGGTCCCTGTGCTCCCCTACACACCGGCTGTGCAGTGCTGTGGAGCTCAGTACGGCTGGACAGCCCATAAACCTGGGCAGGATTTGTCCCTAAGGCTACGTCTGTGCTGCAGGCCAGAGGGGTGAATCCCCTGCTCATGGATCCCGCCCGTGCTAGCTTCCATCCAGCTGGAGCATGGGGCCGGAGGCAGGGGCAGGGCTGAGCTGTGCCGAATACAAACCGACCTGCAACCGTGTGTGTGTGTCTGGGTGTGAGATTGTGTGTGTGCATGTCTCTGTGTGTGTGAGTGTGTGTGTCTGTGTGTGTGTGTGTCTGTCACTCTGTGTGTGTCTGTGTCTGTCTGTCTGTCTCTGCGGTGAGTGTATGTGTGGTTTTCTGTGCGCGTGTGTGTGTGTGTGTGTGTGAGAGAGAGAGAGAGATTGCGTCAGTGTGTGTCTGTGTGTGAGTGTCTGTCTATCTCTGTGTGTGTGTGTGTGTGTTTGTGTAAATGTGTCTGTGTGTCTCTGTCTGTGTGCCTGTCTGTTTCTGTGGTGAGTGTATTTGTGTCTTTCTGCATGTGTGTGTGTGTATGTGAGAGAGAGAGATTGTGTATCTGTGTGTGAGTGTGTGTATGCGTGTGTGTCTGTGTGTGTGCATGTCTGTGTGTGAAATATGCTGAAATGTTCTCGTGAAGGTTTGAAGAAACCAAGTCCGGCCAGAAGGCAGAGGTGATGGGCTGGTGTTTAGCCAGGGAACAGCAAGAAGAGCTTGATGAGATTTGACGTTCCTGCAGTGTCCTGGTGCACCCCAGAGCCCCCCAGCTCACGCACAGCCCCCCAGGAGGCAGAGGACCATTGGCCAGAGGCAATGGGGCAAATCCCTCCTCTTAACCTCCTCTAAAACCATCCCCCTGCCCCTTCCCCCACTGCCTGCTTCTCTGTCTCAGCCCGACGAGGGGCTGTGCTCACGGCGCTGTGTTTCATCCCATCCGTCCAGGAGGAAAAGCGTCCAGAGCTGCTAACAAGGAAGGGGCAGAATTTCAAAAGCAGAGATGAGAGTTAGGCACCTATGTTATCTCCTGCTAAATGGTGAAATCGATTTTAAAAGTGTCCTGATTATAAACTTTTTTAAAGCTTTATTGGACTCATATCTCCCCGTAAAACTCCAAATAGAGGGTGTCAGGTCACCAACCCCTTTCTCTCAACTGCATCTGACTCACCAGGGTGGACGTGACGAAAATCTTCACCATCGAGGATAAAAGCCTCTGGACCCAGCCTGCCTGGAGTATCCGCCACAGACTGCCAGGCACGCGAGAGTATTTATCTTGTATCCTTGCAGCAGCTCCTTGGGGGTCACACAGTCCACTGGGAACTCAAGCGGAGGCTGATGTTTGAACATGGGCTAATCAGGCAAAGAAGCCAGATACAGCAGCAAGAGCTCTGTGACTTTTGCTGCTTGTATCCTTTATCCTACATGAGAACAGCAGAAAATAAGAATCACGAGGAGTCCGGTGGTACCTTCAAAACCAACGGATTGAACAGATTCAAATCTGTTAGTCTTTAAGGTGCCACCGGACTCCTCGTTGGTTTTGTGGATACAGACTAACCCGGCTGCCCCTCAGATAGCAAATAAGAACGGCCACAGCGAGTCACACCAATTCCATCTAGCCCAGTATCCTGAGTTGTGACAGTGGCCAGGGCCCAGGTGCTTCACAGGGAATGAACAGAACAGGGCAATGATCAATTGATCCATCTCCTGTCGTCTACTTCCAGCTTCTGGTGAGCAGGGGCTAGGGACATTCAGAGCATGGTTTTACATCCCTGCCCAACCTGGCTAATAACAATTGATGGAGCTATCCTCCATGAACGTATCTAGTGCTTTTTTGAACCCTGTTATAGTTTTGGCCTTCACAACATCCCCTAGCAATGAGTTCCACAGGTTGTACATTGTGCAAGAAGTACTTTCTTATGCTTTTTTTTAAACTTGCTCCCTATTAATTGAATTGGGTGACCCTTGTCTGTGTGTTATGTGAAGGAGAAAATAACACTTCCATATTTACTTTCCCCACACCAATGATGATTTTATAGACGTCTATCATATCCCCCCCTTACTCGTCTCTTTTCTAGGCTGAAAAGTCCCAGTCTTTTTAGTCTCTCCTTATACGGAAACTGTTCCATACCCCTATTTTTTTTGGTGCCCTTTTCTGTACCTTTTCCAATTCTAATATATCTTTTTTGAGACGAGGTGACCAGAACTGCATGCCATGATTTATATAAAGGTAATATGATATTTTCGGTATCATATTTATCCCTTTCCTAATGGTTCCCAACATTCTGTTCGCTTTTTTGACTGTCACTGCACATTGAGTGGATGTTTTCAGAGAACTATCCACAATGACTCCAAGATCTCTTTCTTGAGTGGTAACAGCTAATTTAGACCCCATCGTTTTATATGTATAGTTGGGATTAATTTTTCCGATGTGCATTGCTTTGCCTTTATCAACACTGAATTTCATCTGCCATTGTGTTGCCCAGTCACCTAGTTTTGAGAAATCCCTTTGTGAGTCTTCACAGTCAGCTTTGGACTTAACTGTATCATCTGCAAACTTTGCCATATCACTATTTCCCCTTTTTTCCAGATCACTTATGAATCTGTTGAAGAGTAGTGGTCGCAATACAGACCGCTGGGGGACCCCACTGCCCCAGTAGTTTGTCTATCACAGCATTGATGTCTCCTCCTGCTGCTCTCAGAGCTTGTACGTTGGCTTCGTGGTTCAGGAAACCCATTACGTAGAGCTGCTCCAGCTGCTGCTGGAATTGGGCTTCAGGAGTTTGGGGAAGCGGGGGGCTTGCTTGACCAAGACCCTGTGCGATTTGCCCCATGTTACAGGGCTGGCACTCCGACTTGGCTGATCCTGCTGCTGGGGTTGCATTCTCACGTGGCTCAGAACCAGTCCTGGGTACTTCTCTGCCATCGGCAGGGCTTCCCGCTGCCCCTGAGCCAGGAGCGCTGCCTCGGGCGAACCTTAGCACCTCCATCCCCAGGGTCTGGAAACCCTGCTGAATCTGGAACAGAGCCTTGGTGGCTCTCGGGTTTGCCATCACTAACAGCATGTCTGGCCTGTGCAGCAGCTGGAGGAGGGCTTGGAGCTCCCGTGCTACTTCTTGTCGGGGATGCGGGATACCAACGAACCGGGGGTTACTCAGCATGAAGTGCACAATGAGACTGGGTTTCTGGCTCAGGGCCTGCATTATATTCCTCATGTGGGAGACAGACAGGACGCTCTGGAAAGACAGGGCATTCCTGGGTATCTTTTGCAAGGCGTTCTGCATTTCAGGCGGGTTACACATCCCAGCTGCGACTCCAGGTCCCCCAGGCGGCACCCAGGGGCTCTGCCCCATACTGCAGTTTGGGCTGTTGCTGACATGAATACCCCCAACGTCAGTGCCTTGGTTGCGATGGGGGATGCAACTCTGTGGACCAAACTGAGAGGCCCAAGGGTTCGGTAAAGGTTCTCTGTTTTCTGGGGGGACGGTTGGCTGAGCCCCGATGTGGGCGGCTTGTTCCAGGGTGGGTCACTCCCACACTGCGCCTCTGGTCCATTCAGCGTTGGCTTCGGAGTATCAGGGAGCATTTGCCACAAGACTTTGTCTCCACCCAGCAGCATAGTCTGGCTCCTGTTTGTCAGTATTTCCTGCATCATCGCTGGGTTCCTAATGAACTCGATCATTTCTCGCAGGAGGGCTGGGTTGTTCCAGATGTGTCTGACCTCTGGATTCTGCTGCACAAACTGCTGGAACAGGGGTTTTTCCCTTAAGAACCGTGTTATCAGGTCGGCGTTTGACAGCATGCTCTGGACAAAGGGATTTTCCAAAATCTGTAGCATCATCTCGGGGTTGATCACCTGCAGCTGCTGGAGCTCATTTAGGACACCTAAAATGCTGGGTGCGTTCCCACCTAGCACGCTCAGATCTGCCAGTCCAGCTGAGCCAGGAGCGCCTCTGCCCAGGGACGTGCCGTTGGGTGGTGCAGGGAGGGTGGCAGCATGCGTGCTGGCGTTCGTTTGCTGAGCTTCCTGGTCCTCTGCTCTCGTTTGTGGCCTGATGACAAGGTGGATGGTGAATCCATCCTGTATCCCGGCCTGGCTGAGAGTATCTCGGTCGTTCACAATCTTCCCAGCAAAGATCAAGAGGAGCAGGTTGGTGGGAGCACGGAAGCGCTTGGCGATTTCACCCCGAAAGTCTGCGATGGTGCTGTTCTCCCACACGGCAAACTCCTCCCTGTCCTTGAGGGTCTTCACTGTCACTTTGATGATCTGGGGCTCTGCAGCGGTGCCGCCGGAGCCCTGTCCCTTTCCAGCCATGGCTAACATGATGCTGGTCCCTTCCCGAAAAGCAGAGAGACCAGAGACTTAGAGGGGCTGGGGATGTCTAGAGACCAAATCCAGAGCACTCATGTCAGCTGGTGCACATCCCCATGCTGCTCCCCTGCTCACAGCTTCCTAACCTCCTGGCTTGCCCGGGTGGACTGTGACATCCCTGCTGATGTCACTGTGAGCAAGAAACCACATGGACACCACCTCATTCCCCGTGCATAGGCATAGGTAGAAGAGAGGTCCTGGAGGCCAAACGTAGCCTGCTAGGTAAGAAATTGAATCATAGAATCATAGAATATCGGGGCTGGAAGGGGCCTCAGGAGGTATCTAGTCCAACCCCCTGCTCAAAGCAGGACCAATTCCCAACTAAATCATCCCAGCCAGGGCTTTGTCAAGCCTGACCTTAAAAGCCTCTAAGGAAGGAGATTCCACCACCTCCCTAGGGAACCCATTCCAGTGCTTCACCACCCTCCTAGTGAAAATGTTTTTTCCTAATATCCAACCTAAACCTCCCCCACTGCAACTTGAGACTATTACTCCTTGTTCTGTCATCTGCCACCACTGAGAACAGTCTAGATCCATTCTCTTTGGAACCCCCTTTCAGGTAGTTGAAAGCAGCTATCAAATCCCGCCTCCCTCTTTCTTCTGCAGACTAAACAATCCCAGTTCCCTCAGCCTCTCCTCATAAGTCATGTGCTCCAGACCCTATCCAGACCCCGCGCGCTGTCTTTTTGTTGCCCTCCACTGGACTCTTTCCAATTTTTCCACATCCTTCTGATTTTCCCTCTGTGTGGTCCCTTGTTGGAGCTTGGAAACGTTAAAAAGTCAGGCATGCCCCAGCCTGCTGAGGAGGGCGCTGACCCCAGGGCTGGAACCCAACCTGTGAACACATATCCAGACCCCGCGCGCTGTCTCCCCGGCGTACGCCCTCCTGTGGGGCTCTGCGGTGCTGCTGCTGTAGGCGAGCCCTTCGCCCCCAGAAGCCAGTCTCCGGGGACGCCCGTCTCTCCACTTTCTCTTTGCCGGCCAGTGGAGGATGCTGAGCTGTTGGGACTGCAGACACCCCAGTGGGGCAGACATGGGGGGAAAGGAGGGTCTGTAAAAATGTCCCCCACAAGAACCCAGAGTAGTTCTGTGCTGTGGGGAAAGCTGAGAGGGCGTGGACGGGTTGGATATGTCCATTCATTCCACCACCAGCCCCCACATCGGCAGGGGGTGGGGAGTTTCTCTGGCCACTCCAGTCCCAGCTGTCTGTCACTTTGGGGATGAACTTTTCCATGCTGTTCAGACCCACTGGAAGACTCTGTCCACAGCCCATCACAGGGCTGCCCTGGCATCATCTCCCTGTGCCTGGGAGAGGTGGGGTCAGGGCTCTGCCCATGGGCAGGGGTATATGGTCTGCAGCCTCTACTGATGGCCCAGGATTTGGCTGTTCCCATCCCCACTGCTGCTTCTTCATCCAGGAAGGTCTTTGGCATCGCATGGCTTCCCGAAAACCTCATGTGCCCTGCCTGGTCCCTCTGTTGCTGGCACAGAGTGCCCGAGGACAGCAACAGCGGGTTCGTTGTCCGGTGTGCTTCGCTCCAATAAACACACCAGGGGGAGAAGCAAACAAAGTTTATTTGAGATCTCAAAGCGGTGTAAGGAGACTGGCACGTCTCAGATCAAGCACACTAACAGAAACAGTGTTTCTTCTTTTATACATTTTGCAGTTAAGCCTCATCCCCCCCCTTCCCCCTCTAGCCCTCCCTTCCCCCCCCCCCCCATTCCTTCCTCTACCCCTCCCG